CAGTTTCTTTAGCACAGCATAAACAGTTTCCCTCAGAAAACAAATTATAATAGCAGGTTCTTATGCTACTGAAAAAATAACAATGAAGCAATCGTGGACGTCGTTTATCTCAGTGCAGCATCATAGAAGTATTGGAATTTCAGAGCAAACAGAACAAGAATGTGGGTCATTTTGGTCTGTTTCTATTAATGTTGCTATTTGCTGAGCAGGAATAGATTTTAAGGCCATGCAGGTTAGTTTCCCATTCGTTATAGACATCAGTGATCTGAAATAGAATTATTCCATAATTCAGCTTGTAGAAGATGTACAGAAACACTATTTTCTTGAACTGAGTTAGTCACGACTCCGTATAGGACACGCTTCCTTGCAGAAAGTGTGAAAACACCCATTTTTTTTTTTAACCTTCTTTCTTGACTTTCACAGTTTAAACACATTTTCCTGTTCTTCAATACTTGGTCCTTTTAGCTGATAAATCCTTTAGATAACAGCTATTCCCCTGGTACAGTGCGGCCTTGAAAGGTGAGCAGCAGCAGTAGCCATTTCTTCTATGCAGCTGTGATACAAAGAAACCTTTGGAAGGGAGATTTGTCTACCCAGGCAGTGTTCTGCACAGGACATCCGATTAGTGTTCGTGTGGGTACAGAGCAAGTTCCATCTCCAGTTTAGACATCAGTGACTCATAACCCAGTGACACTTGCATCTTCTGGAATAGCATTAAGATTGTGTTAAATCCAGAGTTCTGTACTCATATTTTTAGTGTGTCCTATTTAGCTACACCCTATTGTAAACCTTGGAGCCAAATCCTAGCACACACTAAGCACCTTCCAAAAAATCAGCAACAAATAACTTCTGTGCATATATGTCCTGACATGACTTACTGTCACAGTTGTACACGTAGACGAAGCAAAGCTGACTTTAAAGTGGCTCAGATGCTGATAGCAGTGTGGTGACAACAGCAAGGAGTTCAGAGTAGGCTTCAAAATTCATCCCAGAAATGGGTGAACATTCAAGCAGTCGGTTCATGCTGAATTTTGTATTGCTGCAACTGTACTGTCAGTGGTACCCCAGCCTTGTTTGGATGTGTCCGCATGACACGGAAGTTGCAGCTTTGCTTTGTCAGGTAAGGCTTTGAAACTCTGAATTAAATAACTGTTGTATCCCCAGGTAAATTTGCAGGACTGTTCAGGGTAGGACCCGTTTACGTCCTACAGACTGTGGGACAATAGCTCTGAAGTAAAAGAGTAAGGGGGATGTTTCGTAGGATGAAAAAAGGAGGAGTTAAATCAGTGAAACAGAGAAGGGATTTGAAACAGGAGAGAACAGGACTGACAGAGAAGAAAAGGTGTTCAGGTCTTTTAAGGGACAGCAGGAAACAAACACAAAGCATGGCAGGAGGGAAAAGGAGATGAAAAGGGCAGTAACCTGAAACATCAGAAAACAAATGAGAGAGAAGAGAAAATCGGAACAGAGGTGAAGATAGGCAAAATTGTGTGTGCTACTGGCTGACAGCGTGCTAAGTCTGAATTGTATGCCACTGGTTTTTGCTGGTGTGTTGGCCAGCCGGGAAAGTGGTGAAATGGTTATTCTGTATGCACATTTTACAGAAGTCCCTGTAGCAATTAAATATTTAATTAGAAATGAAGGGTCTTTTTGAACATGATCCTCTGTACTTTCCTGGGCTTCTCACTGATGTGATCCAGTGCTTTGCATGATAATGCCCCAGGCAAGGATCAGTTAAAACACTAGAGGGGATTTCACAAAAGGTAGCAATATGATACCAGTACTGATGATCTCATCTTTCAAATTCTGTCTGAGCTGATCCTTGTTCCTCCGTACCAGCTTCCTTAGCTCAATCTGGATTAGTTTCCTCTCAGATATTAGGAGAACAGGGACCAAAGTTTCACAAATCCTTATCTATGATGGATTCAGTGATAAAAATACAACACAGCTGCAAAGACCCTGGCAGATGAGTGCAAGGAATTTCTGAAGCAGATTTATCAGGAATTGATGGGGAAAAATTCTCATTCCCCAGTTGTCCGAAGCTCATACTGTTTGCCTGCAAGAGTGAGAAAGGGGAAGAGGAGGCTTCCAGGTCTCTGTAACATTCGACTGAATTCTGTACTAGGTAGGATGCTGGGGGATGTATGTTTACAGTAGGTCTGTAAAATACCCAGAGTTGATGTCAGGTTACTAGCCTAAGTTTTACAAATAATGTGATGAAGTTATTTCTTTGAATCAAAGTGTACAGTAGCTGGAAGATTGATGTGCATGTATCCAGACTTAGACTGATGTTCAGATTTGTGTCTAGGAAGGAATTGTCCCCCAATCAAATTAGCGTAGACCTCTGTTTCTTACCTTACTGTGCAGTACTGCACAGGTCCATCAGCTAAGATCTCCTGGACATATCGCTCCTAAACGGCAGCTTTCCATTACAGCACGGGCCTCAGGCCTAAGAAGCACCTGGACTGAGGTTAAGAACAATTTATTTTCTGAAGACCTCACATTTTGAAAGATGGAAAAGGAAAATTTGGTGGGAGATTTTCTAATACAAGGTGTATGTATATTACACCTGGTTTGTCACTGGTGAGTGATCCAGAGATAGACACAGGGACTACAACCAGTCTGCTGCTAGAATTGTGATTTCACTGGTCATTTCTGTGGCTATCTACAGCTAAGCTACAGGGAGAAAGATGAGCAAAGCTGATATATGTGGTACTAGCAGGAGGTGAGGTGTATGTAGTCGGTAGTCGCACTACCACCTGTAGTCTGCTTTGTAGCCATGAAAATAAATGGAAGATGTTGTTGAGACTGATGGGAGGAAAATGTATGGATGGATCAGAAACTAGCTTAACCACACTGAAGAGCCAGTGAGACCATATCAGAGCCCCTTCCAGACCATCATTTTAAAATTAAAACAGAATAACAGAGGAGAGTTGGGCAGGCCAGCTATATGCCATTTATCATAGAAAAACCTGGTCTGATCAGCAAAAGAGTCTGCCAGGCCTGAGTAACCAGGTTCTCAGTGTAGAGCTTGTAAGTAGTGTGTCCCCAGGCAGAATTGTCTACAGCTCACACAGAGTCTGGAGGATTAGGCAGCAGGATTCTGGACTGAATTCTGCAGTATCGTAACCCTGTCTTTCAAAAGGGTGGTGTGAATTACTCTATGGGAAAAGATGAGGTTTACCCTGAAAGTTAAAAATAACAAATTTTACGGTGAGTGAATTTTAACAAAGACAAACATCATCAGGCTGACAGTGGGCCAACTAAATTTCAACCCAAAGAATGAATGTTTGGGACCATGAAAATAAATGGGTGGAAGGGCTTGAAAGCAGACTTTTGCAGGTGTTTGTCAAATTATTTCAACTAAACTTTCATCTCTTTCTTAATTTCTGGCTACTGCTGTATGGGAAATGAGGGACAATCTCCTTTTTGCCAGCCTTGAGGATAAATGGGTTTCAAGACTATCTCTTTCCTCCATTATTTCCTCTCTCTCACTCCACATGTTACGACAAAACCGTTTTCTCAAACAGACTGGAAGAGTATCCTTCGTGTTATTGTGCAAGATAATCGTTCAAAGAGATACTTTTTTACCAGGACAGCCTCCCTGCTTTGGGATAGCATCTGCCAGCTGGCCCAGAAGTTGCTTCCTGAACCCTGTGCAAGATGGCCTTTAGTTGGTTCGGTATCAACTTACCTTTGATTATATGCTGCCGCTTGGTGGCTATTGCAAATATTACCCAATTCTCCTTCCTCAGGGTATATTTTTCACTGGGTGTCTTTCTCAGTGCCCTACTACTGTCCTGAAAGGAGAGTAACCCGCTTCCCCGTTCAGGTGGTCCAGGTGGTCCAGGTGTGATCTGCATCACACCTCATCCAGAGGTGGCAACGGCAGGAGTTTTTAGCTGATCCGTCATGGGATGAATAGATTTTGCTGACTGTAACGAAGCAGTGGATTTTATTTTTGGCCTCTTGTGATGCAAAACGTCTAGCTTTCTGGATTTTAATTATGACTCACGACTCTATAGCAACAAAAATGCTCTTGGCGCAGCAAAGAGCAAACGAACAGACAGAGCGTCTCCCCCAGAGACTCTTAGCTGGGTCTAGCCAGCGTGGGGATGATGCATGGGCTTAAACAAACAGCCAGAAGGATGAAGTAGCAGCCACACCGAGCACCCGTTTTGAGTTACTTTCTGAAATTGTACTTGATTTGTATTAGCATTGCAGGGGAGGGAGGGAGGGCAGGCATCGCTGAGTTAGTTATTAAGGCCTCAGAGAAGGAGCATGTTTTCCGGGCTGGAGAAAGGAAGCGACCCGCAGGCCTCGTCGGCGAAGGGATTTCGGGTGAGAGGGAGCAGAAGGACATCAAGAGCGGGAGGACCTGCGCGCTTCTGGAGCGGAGGAGGCAAGGCGGGAGCACAAAGCCGGGAGGAGAGACTTTGAGGGAGTTCCTCCCGCGCAGACCAGGACTCGGCCCGCTCGCTCCTGAGCGGCGCGCCGCC